GGGAAGATGGGAATGTCGTCAACACCTAGTCTTCGGCACAGGCCCCAAATAATCCCTCGTCAAATGTCTGAATCCCAATGTCGAGTCTGGATCCAATGTCGTCAAGTCCCAAAGTCACAACTCTCTCTCTCTCTCTCTCTCTCTCTCTGTGTGTCCAGTACTAACCTGTGAAGTTGGCGCCTTGATGCAGGTACCTTGAAATTGAAGCTGGAGGTATGGCGCCATAGGGTAAGTCTCCCTGGCCTCCGCCAGTCATCTCTCTCCCCAACGCTACTCGATTCCTACCAGCTCCCAGCGCTGAAGACTACTACTTCAGCTACTAGCGCCCAGCGCTGAAGACTACTGCTAGCACTAGCGCTACTCCTGCAGCGCTCCTCCAGAATGCTGCTGCCGAATCCTGAAGACTACTCAACCCTTCTGCCTACCATCTTCAAAATAGTCCAAAAAGCTATGCAGGTCATACTGGAGATGATCTACGAAGAGAAATTTATTGATTGCAGTCATTCTTTTCAGCCTGGTAGAGGCTCCGCCGCAGCTCTGACTCTTGCGAGCCTCCATGTAGGAATAAAAAAACAGCAAATGTGGGCCATCAAAGGCGACATAACCAACTGTTTTGATTCATGGGAGCTCCCTATGTACTACCTTGGCCTGCCTCCTGACTGCCTCCGACTGCCTGCAGTTGCAGGGCGGGGCAGACCAGGAGGCTGCTCTTGCCAATGCCAACGTGAGCCAGGGCCTGGCGCTGCAGCTCCTGCTGAGGCTGTCGTGGGAACAGGCCAAAAATAGCCTGTTTCTAAAACCCTGGTTTGGTGCCTGAGTGTTAGGGCAGGTCGATCTTATGAGGGCCCGGAAGTGGCCCTCCGTTTCAGGCTGAAAAGACTCAGGGCCTGGAAGGCCCTGTTTTAGGCTGAAACGAAATAGGGCCTGCAGGCCCTCGTTTCAGGCTTTCAGGCTGAAACGACACAGGGCCTGTAAGCCCTTATTTTCAGGCTTTTAGGCTGCAGACGCTGGTCGGGCCCTGCAGGCCCGTGTGGCTGCGCAGTATGCCACAGACAGCGAGGAAGACGACATCTTCTTCGTCTTCTTCAGTCTCCCTCTTGTCTAACTCCTTCCTCCTCCTCCCTCCTTCCCTCTTCTTCTTCTTCTTCTTCTTCAGATAAAGAGAGACTACAGGCAGAGGTTACAGCAGAAATAGCGCCCGAGACATCCAGCACGGGACTATTTTTGAAACTCGCTATCGCGATCTTGGTCTTCTCCCTCGCCTCCTTCGTCTCGCCTCTCCCTCCATCTCTCATCTGTGGTATCTCCCCCATGTGTGTGGTCAAGGAGGGACCTCTCTTCTATGTATGCAGGTCTCTCCTCCTCTCTCACATGTGTGATGTATGATGGGATGTCGCATCAGTCCTACTCAGGTCAGGACTTATCTTTGAGTCTTCCACTGCCCTACTTCGTGCCATTTTGTATGTATCGGGATGTACATTGCTTGTTGACTTCTCCCTGCAATTGCGGATCCTTGGCTCCATACACATTGCCCAACTGGGCATGTGTCACCTTCCTACAATTGCAGAGGACGCAGCCTGAAACCCGACCGGATTCATTCCCTCAAACATAACACCATCTGAAACACACATTCCATTTCTCTGACACATGCTTCATGTCAGAAATCATTATGATTTTCGATTTCCTAAAATCCCCATTTACACACTTCTGTTTCCAATGAACCTAGCCTAAAAACGGAACCCGATTAATTTACACAAACATCACTACATCTGAAACACACACCACATCTTCACAATGCCTGGCACGTACTCAGTACTCTGTGTCAGGCATTGTTTCAATTTTCATTTTACGAATATCAGCGTTTACACACTTCTTCGTTTTCGAATGAATCCACCATAAAATGCGACCCAGTTCTTTTACACAAAAATTGTAACACCTGAAAGGCACACCACACCATCTCAACGTCTGACATTCTCGGGGTGAAAATCATGTTGCTTTCCGATTTTCCAATACCTGTGTTTACATTTCTCTTCATTTTCAAATGCACCTTGCCCAAAACAGGACCGTGTTCATTCCCAGCACAGTACAAAGTCTGCACACCCCGCATTCACACCAGACCAACTCTGAGAGATCGTCATCATGGCTCTCGATTCTGACAATCTCTGAAATCTCTGCAATGTGCAGAACCTCTCTCCTTTCACCGACCAGCCAGACTATCCACTTGTCCACCAACCCCACAACCAGTGTCAAAAGAAGAAAGTGTCCCACAACCAATATCGATCCTTCAATTCCACGATCGCACGGCCAGGTTCGAGACGGCGGGGTGTGTCAGAGCCCACGGCTGATGGACTTTAATAGTATAGAGAAGACAAAGAACGTGATTGCTTCATAAATGTCTGCCCTCGTGCACGTTTATGGAAATGTCTAACCACAAGGACATTGCGCAGTCCATTTGCCCCTTTTCCTTCGGCCCACCATCTTCTTCCCCCATCGCACTACCCAACCTCCCCAGAGCCTGTGGATGATTCTTAGGCAACGAGATTCTTTTCCAGCAATGCTGGGGGGGCTTGTACTGGTGGTTTAAGGGTGAAGCACATAGGTTCCGAAGACTGCATGAACTTTGGAGAATGGACTTCTGTAATGAGGCCTTTTTTTTTTTCGGAACAGAGCTAATACACAACCAGTCGGCAAAACCAAAAGCTCACTTTCTCTTTCCCTTTTGCAATCTTGCTCACATCCCTTCTGGCCCTGAGCTGTTGGTCTCACAATACATCCACAGTCAAATATAAACACCCATGCAGGAAGCAAGACTTGGCCCACCTTCTTGTCAATATTTGCACAATAGATGGTTCTTGCGCACATCTCCCTCTCAACTTCTGACTGTGAAAAGAATAGAAAACAGAACAGTCAAATCTCATCTGTGAGTACTACTATCACAGCCCTCAAATTGAAAGAAGGGGGGCAGGAGTAAAGCATAGAAGTATTTACCAGTGAGACACTTATGCCTCCCCACTAATGTCTCCATCATTTAACTCTTCTTTCCTTGCTACTTGCATTGAGCCTCACTGCTCAACACCTTGAGCACACACACACACACACACACACACACACACACACACACACACACNTGCATTGAACCTCACTGCTCAACACCTTGAGCACACACACACACACACACACACACACACACACACACACACACACACACACACACACACACACACACACTGAGAGATTAAACGAAATCCACACTGGAGTCCAGATATGCAGTCCAGATATGCTCAGCTTAGAAATTCCAACAAATCATCATATTAAACAGTTTCAGCACCAAGCGCTCAGCAGCGCAGAGTTCAGCAACCCAATACCAGCATCCTCATCTAAGGTAAGTGACTCTCTCTCTCTCTCTCTCTCTCTCTCTCTCTCTCTCTTGAGAATCTAGACTCCGAATACATCCGCTACTAACCAGCTCTATCTTCTACTACTAGCAAAACGGCTATGGCCGCCTTCCCTCTCAGCACAGCGCTGCCCAGCAGGGCTCTCGTGCATGCCTTTCGCAGATAGCGCACAAGCGCGTCAGCAGCACTTCGGCACTTGTCACGAATGAGCATCTCCCGTCCCAGCCTCTGCTTCCTTTGGCTTGACTTGGACCCGGTGCAACATGCCCATGGCCTGCTTGCTTCAGAATGTCAAGGCCTGGTACTTTTTCCCGATTTTCCATTGGTGTGCTGCGGCTTGATGTGCTGCGGCTTGAGTCTGTGAGTCACGACTTTTCATCTGTGGAACGTGACTTTTGACTGTGGGATGTGACTCGCGCCTCTGGGACACGACTTCCGCCTGGAGAAGTGTGGGACATGACTTTTCAATATGAGACGTGACTTTTGCTTACAGAATGCATCTTTTGCCTTTGGGATGTGACTGTTTACCGGGTGCCTGTTGGACTTTACTCCTAAGGAACCCGACTAAACTGTTTTCAGAAACTGACCGACTTGGCCTCCCTTGGCCTGAGACCTTCACCCTGGAATTTGAATAGGGGGTCTGAATAGTGGAATGCCTTTCACTCTCCCCGGCCTAATTTCGAGGTCCTCTGAGAAAGTTACAATCTTTACCTATCAACTATGTTAATTCCTCGCCCAGCTCTCTCATGGTAGGACACTGTGTTGCTGTCTCGACTAGCTCATCTCTAGTAAACCAGCGATCTTCTGAAGGCTCTTGATAAGCGGATCTAACTTTGTATTGTCGCTGGGGCCTACGCCTGCGTCCAGATCTATAAACATCCTTTGCAACAATGCGGTCCACACCGTATTTATCATCCATATCAGGAGGAATCATAGATCTTCGAGATGGAAATAGCTCATTGCTGACACAAGGGAGCAACCTAGAGGCATGAAACCCCGGGTAAGTGTGCAAATGCAGAGGAATCTCCACAGCGTAGGAAGGACCATCCACATCACCACTCACGTTAAGCACCTGCCGCGTTCCCCTATACGTACGCAGTAACTTCTGCAAGATGTTCTCCTCTGGGAGAAACTCTTTAGACTTACCCAGACCAAATCCCCTACAGCAAACTGCGAAGGTCTGCAGTGTTTATTTGCTTGTTCTATCATCTGATGCTGTGCCTTTTTTATGTTCTGGAACAAACAACAGAGAGCAATGATGTTGTGAACGCCATGCCATAAGCAAATGATCACTTTCCTGAATGCATCTGACCACTATTACTGGGAGAGGGAAACATTGCTGTTTCTCCTTTTTTTTCTCATTTTGTTTTTTTCCTCCTGGCCCTGCCAGCAAGGCAGCGCATATTCCTCTTGCTCAAAACGCCCTTACTGAGGGCATACTCACACTAGCCACGTTGAAATGCATCCAACCACTTTCACGGGCAAAGCATTGTTGACTCTTTTTTTTTTGTTCTTTTTTTCGAGAGCCCGTCAGTCCTGCTCCCCGTGTTCTACGTTCTGCTGAAGTGCCCTCAATGAGGGCAAACTCACACGAGTAATCCAAAAAGTGTATCCAACTGCAATCACGGGCAAAGGCTTTTCTTCTTTTTTTCTTTTTTTGAGAGTCCGACAGTCCTTTTTTTTTCTTTTTTTGAGAAACAGTCCTGCTCCCCGTGTTCTACGTTCTGCTGAAGTGCCCTCACTGAGGGCAAACTCACACGAGTACTCCAAAAAGTGTATCCAACTGCAATCACGGCCAAAGGCTTTTGTTGTTGTTTTTTCTCCATTTTTGAGAGTCCGACAGTCCTGCTCCCCGTGTTCTACATTCTGCTGAAAGTGCCCTCACTGAGGGCAAACTCGCACGAGTACTCCAAAAGGTGTATCCAACTGCTGAAAGTGCCCTCACTGAGGGCAATCACGGCCAAAGGCTTTTTTTTTTATTGGGACGTACAATTGGAGATGGGCCCAAAAATTTGAAAACCTTCTGACGCTCCGACCCTGCCCCGAGCCCGCGTTTTACTTCTTGTGGCGACAAGTTATTTTGCTGCAAGGCTGAGCCCGTGCACTGGTGGTTTAATCAACTCTCGAATTACTAAGTATGTCCTGGCTACAGCAGGGAGTGACACAAAAACAGCAAAGCTGCTAAATCTGTCCAATATCACCATAACTTGGCTCTTCCTGTTCCTACTTCTCACCGTAGTGCCATAAAGTCTATAGACACCGAGTCATGTGTCATAAAGTCTATAGATACAAGTCATGTGAGACCCGACGGTATAGGCAGTGGTCTAAGTAAACCATGGGAAGGCTGCGTGGAACTCTTCTACAGACATACTTTGCAACCTTGTACATAAGCCACACAGTCATGTGTCATGCCAGTCCACGTGTAGGAACGCAGCAGGTTAGCATAATGTCCCTCGATATCATGGCATTCCCCTAGGAGTAGGCTGCGAGCCTCTTCACTGTTTGGGATGCACAATATGTCGTGCACATCTGTCTTCTCAAATAGCAGCACCTGGGTCACTCTATAATCCGAAACTTTTGTGTGGTGTTGTCTGCACCTTTGCCAATCAACTGGATCACTAGTGTAGGTGGACCTGATCTTCTCTTGTAATTCAGCGCCCGCATCCAAGTATGTTACAATGGCAGCGAAGAAATATGCTTAGCGCATCAGCGCCAACGTTATACTTCCCTTTGACTCGCTTCAGTTCGAAGTCAAACTGGTCAACCTCCCCAGCCCACCTTGTGAACTTAGGTGTCATTCTAGCTTGGGTCTTCAGCCAACAAAGTGTCTCATGGTCTGAATGAACTTCGAAATGCAGTCCTAGGAGATAATATTGCCAATGGTTCAAGGCTTCTCTAAGAGCAAACAGCTCCCTCTCGTACGTAGAAGCAGCGACTTTCTCACTAGGCAGTCTACAAGACATGCACTCAACAAGTTTGTACCCATTTCCATCATTCTGTTGGAGTACAACACCTACCTCGTATTGACTGGCGTCGGTAATCACTAGAAACAGCAATGACAGATCTGCGATCTTAAGAACCGAGTTCTCTATCAAGCACTTTTTCAGATGCTTAAAGGCTGAAATATAGTCCTGTCCCAAATCCATACTATCTCTTTCCTCAACAGCCTACACAACGGAGCAGATATTACAGTGACGTTCCTCGTGAACTTTAGTAATTGTTGGCGAGACCAAGGAATGATCGTAGTTCCGTCAGCGTACGCGGTGTCGGCCAATTTCTGATTGTTGATATCTTAGCGTCCTGTGGTTTAATTCCATCTCCATCTAACACGTCCCAAGTACAACACCCGACGCTTCGCCCATTCACACTTCGTTGGGTTCAACTTAAACTGTGTACTGTGCAACTTACTCAACACTAAACGTAAGTATTGTTGGTGTTCCTCTAACGACTTGCTAAAGATCATAATGTCATCTAAATATACCACAACAAACTCATCTAACCAATCGCAGAAGAGTTCATCCATGCATCGCTGGAAGGTAGCAGGGGCTTTAGTCAACCCAAACAACATGACCACAAACTCATAGTGGCCTTATCGACTTCTAAAGGCCGTCTTGTGTTGATCCTCGTGCAACATCTCAATCTGGTGGTAACCCAACTTCAAGTCTCTCTTCGAAGAATTTTTTTCAACCTTGCACTCTATCCAGATTTAGTCAACCCAAACAACACGACCACAAACTCATAGTGGCGTTATCGACTTCTAAAGGCCGTCTTGTGTTGATCCTCGTGCAATATCTCAATCTGGTGGTAACCCAACTTCAAGTCTCTCTTCGAAGAATTTTTTTCAACCCTGCACTCTATCCAGATGGTTGTCTATCCGCGTAATGGCTTTGCATTCTTAATGGTAATTGCATCGAGTCCCTGGTAGTCTATACACATACGCGGATCGCCTTCTTTCTTCGGCACGAACAAGACCAGTGCACCATATGGAAGAACTCGGCTTAATCCACCCTTTCTCTATTACCTCATCCAACTATCTGCGTAATTCATAGAGTTCCTTGGGAGACATATGATAGATTGGGCCTTTGGGAATCCCACTACTGGGTTCTATGTTTATTCGGTGTTTGGTCTCCCTTTCCAAAACTCAACTTGAGGCCTCTCCAACATCAGCGAACTCGTCTAACAAACTTTGCACTTCGGGCGGTATGACCACGCGGGGACACTCATACAACAAAGGGACAAACTACTCTCCACGCCAGACGAATAATATAAATGTAAATTTTTTTTCCCTCCTATGGGGCTGGGCAGCCAGCACTCGTGCTCGCCCATCTTGATATCAGCATATGCAACGTTGCCCCAATCTATACCTAATATAATGTTTGTCAGGGAGTGCACAACTTTCTCTACTTTGCCCCCTGACTCCAACTGGAAGTATGCCTTGACCCCTTCAACATACTAGCATACTATCATTTCTCTAGTATCGGCCAA